GTGCAGCCGCCACACCAGGGCTGTGCCCTAGGCAGTAGCAACACGGACAACCCTCTGAGGGACAGCTTTAAACGCCCCACTCTCGGACCTGTCGCTCCAGCTTATGCCCTCTGGCACCCTGACTCCAACAATTCTTTGGCCCCAAGGACCTACCACTTTTTTCACTGACAAGTTTGTGATGCCATGACAGCTATACACAGAATTTGTAAAGGCTAACATTTCACCCGAAGATGATGAAGTTAATCGGCCTTTAAACAAAACTATCAGGTAGCACTTAGATGCGACATGGAGCCCCTCAGAGATCCAGAGAGCTGTGCTCACACGTTAGATGACACCCCCACCATTCTGACGAGATGGGCGCGTTCAGGGTGGTAGGGCCGTAGACAGGCCCTACCATTCTGAAAAGGAATGAGAGAAGGACGCTGTGGCCCGGAGGCTGCTGCGGCTGTACGAGGGGCACCTCCTCTCAGTCTCGGCCTCCCGGTAGTCAGCGCAGGATGCGCGTGACACAGCAGATGAAGGAGAGGTGCAAGCCGAAGTCAAGAATTCCACAAACTCGTCTTCATTCTCCAAAATCAAGGTCAGAGATTTCCACAACACTGGTGACGGGGCGACTAAGATCTCTGGTGAACACAGATGCAAAAAAAGCATCTTTTCCTTTGGAAATTGGCTGAAATGATTCATCTGACATTTACAATTTCCACTGGAACATTTATAAAAGGTTTTATGTCGGACACAACATAAACCCAAAGGATATGGAAGTTAAAACTCCAACCTAAATGTGGGGAATGTGAAAAGCCGAACCAGTTCGAGAGAATATGGAGAGCTCTTGCTTAAGGTGACTAATGGGTAAAACCTATTCATTTGATGTGGTCACAAACATCTTCATGGAAAACTACACTTGGAGGAGGAGAATTTTCTCCAGCTGCTCACCCTTGCAACTCTCTCATCATCAAAAGATAACCCCCCCACCCCCGGCAAATAAAGTAAAACTCAAATTGCTCATGATCTTTATTTACTATTTGTATAGACAATTAAAAATGAGAAAACCTGTCAAGCTTTTGAAAATAAATTTTTTTAGAAATGTCATCATTCAGAGCCCATGACATTTGAGATGTCCGTCCTTACATTGAATTTTTACCAGCTTCTAAAAGAACTTTTTTAAAAAAATGTTTTTCCTGTATTGATTTTAGAGAGAGAGGAAGTGAGAGGGAGAGAGAGATAGAAACATAGATTAGAGAGAACATCGACTGGCCGCCTCCTGCATGCCCCACACTGGGGATCGGGCCCACAACCTGGGCATGTGCCCTGACCGGGAATCAAACCAGCCACCTCTTGGTGCATGGGTCAATGCCCAACCACTGAGCCACACCAGTTGGACTAAAAGAACTTTTTCAACTCAATTTTCTGAGCCAAAGGTTAATGAAATCACAGCCACAAGACAGGATAGGACCACAACCAAGAAACAGCAAGCTGCTTGCACTAGATTAAAAAACAAATACTCATGAAAAGCGGAATTCTCAAACAACTCTTAGTACCAGACTACAGTTTCTCAGCCTCTTGCGTCATCTTCCAATTATAGATAAAGCTGAAGAGAACTGATGTCGGTCCAGAACCATGGACTCACGCTTCAGACCTAGGCCCACACCTGCCACTGGCCCTACCCTGTCACTCCAAGGCCACGCTCAGATGCTGGAGCTTTGGAGCCAGAGAAAGTCCTTCCGAACCTGCCTTATCAGGGGAAGAATAAGAACTTGAGCAGCAAAGGAAATAAATGATTTTTGTGATTCAAAGAAAATATCCAGATTTCTCACAGTAAACTTTTAGAAACACCTCCATTATTCGAGGGATTAGAAATCAACAAAACGTGGCAGATTATCAGATACATCTACAACTGACAAAACTATGTCCCAGCCTTTGGACCAAGAGACCCACACCTCATCTCTCCAAAGGAAAAGTAACTATACGACCAATCATTTATGGACACTAAAACCTAACTGTCACGCACTCAAAATTCAACTGCAGTCAGCAAGTAGCCCTATAAGTGTGCCTAAGAATAGGCTCCTTCTTCCAAGCCTTCTGGTAAGGATAGAAGGAAGGGAAACAGAGTTACAGACAAGTTTGGCCAGAATACTACCAGTGGTTGCTTCTCAGCCACAGCGTGGGGCCCAGAATCCAAAGAGGCAAACAGCCACATCATCAAGAGTCATGAGAAAAATGTTTCTCAAATTAGAATCCTCCTAAAGTCCCCAATCTTGACATTTACAAGCTACTTCCTCCAGGCAGCAAAGTAAATGAGAATGAATTGTCCCTAAGTCCTGTGGACACTTTTGCGCAACTGAAATTGATTCCAAACGTAGAAATGCATTAGATACAAGTCCAGGGAGCAGAGTCTGAAACAATGAACCCATGAGGCCCACACCATATTAAATGCCAAAGGTTAAAGACAAAGAATCTTAAAATCAGCAAGAAAAAAGCAGTTAGTTACCTACAAGGGAGCACCCATAAGACTGTCAGCCGATTTCTCAACACCAACTTTGCAGGCCCCATGGAATTGGCACAAAATATTCAGTGATAAAAAGCAAGCCCCTACAACCAATACTCCACTCAGCAAAGCTGTTGTTTAGAATCGGAGACATAAAGGGCTTCTCAGACAAGAAATAGCTAAAGGAGTTCATCCCCACCAAACAGTATTACAAGAAACGTTAAAGGGCTTCTTAAAAATGAAAAAAATATATATATAAATAATATAGCAATAAGTACATACCTATCAACAATCAGTTCAAATGTAAATAAATTAAATGCTCCAATCAAGACAGGGTAGGTGAATGGATAAGAAAACTACTTATACATATGCCACCTACAAGAGACCTACTTCAGATTGAAAGACACATAGACTGAAAATAAAAGAATAGAAAAGAAATTTCATGAAAATGGAAATGAAAAAAAGTTGAGTAGCAATACTTGTATTAGACAAAATAGATTTTAAAACAAAGGCCTGGCTGGTTTAGCTCAGCAGTTAGAGCATTAGCCCACAGACCAAAGAGTCGTGGGTTCGATTCCGGTCAAGGGCATGCACCAAGGGGTTGCAGTTCAGTCCTTGGTCCCGGTCAGGATTGTGTGGGAGGCAACGAATCGATGTGCCTCTCTCATATCGATGTTTCTCTCCCTCCCCCACTCTATCAGAAGATAAATGGAAAAAAGTATCCTTGGGTGAAGATTACAAAATAAAAATAAAACAAAAGGCTATTAACAAGAGACAAAGGACATTTCATACAGCCAAGATATGGGAGCAACCTAAGTGTCCATCCATACATAATTGGGTAAAGATGTGGTACATATATACAGCAGAATATTACTTGGCCATTAAAAGAATGAAATCTTATCATTTGCAACAACATGGATGAACCTAGAGGGTAAGTGAAGTAAGTCAGAGAAAGACAAACATCGTTTGGTTTCACTTACATGTAGAGACTGAAAAACAGAATTAATGAACAAAAATAGAAACTAATTCAGATACAGAGTACAAACTGATGGTTATCAGATGGGAGGGATTTAGGGGGCTGGGTGAAAAGGGTGAAGGGATTAAGAATACAAATTGGTAATTACAACATAGTCATAGGATGCAACACAGGGAATATATTCAGTAATACTGTAAAAATTATATATGGGGCCAGGTGGGTACTAGCAATGTGGGGGGAATCACTTCATAAGTTATATAAATATCTACCACTACGCTGTACACCTTAAACTAATATAGTGAATGTCAACTGTGATTGAAAAACAATAAATATAAACCTTGTCAGAGTAATACCAATCATATACCAGAACTGAAAGATCTCAGATAAAAATTCCCAAAAGTACACAGAATTACTAAATCTGTTTTGCATTTTCTTTTGTTAAATGTAAACTGTTTCATTGAAATTGTTTCATATTTTGATCTTTTTTAAAGTCCAGAAGGGAGGGTTTTATGAACATAAATTTGACTTAAAATTTTAAAAGCTCAGTTGAAACCCTCCCACCTCCCAATAATAACCCACCAACTCTCAAACAAGCAAATACAAGCTTCAGTTTAATGAAAACTAAGTTTATTTATAGAAATTATTTCTGATGCAAGGGCTAAAAGAGGCATTTCTAATGCGTATGGAAAAAATTTTTTAATCATTTCTTTCAATATTTGTGTTTTGGTGCAATCTCGCCCTCTTATGATTCCCTTTCGTACCCCCAACCTGCTCCGCCCACATTCCTTCCCAACAGTCAGTGGCAATTCCAGTCCTTCCCCCAGTTGCTAAGGTCATAATCCCTGACATCATCCTTCATTCTTTCTCCATACTCCTCATGTATTCCCCAGCACACCTAGTTCCCTCCACTTTTGTGTCCTATCTAGAATCCAACCTCTTCTCTCCATGTCCCCTGCTACTGTCCCAGAGCGAATCATCATCTCTTCTGTGGGACACTAAATACCCAACTGTCTCCTACCCTTGTTTTCTCATCAATTCTCTAGAGGCCAAGGTGATAGTGATCTTTCAAAACAGAAGCCAGATCATATTCCTCTGCTCAAAACCCTCCAATAGCCTAACCCCATCTGATGTCATCTATTTCCTCCCTTGGATAGGAAGCTCCAGCCTGTGGTTTCTGGAACATTTCAGGCATACTTCTGCCCCAGGGCCTTTGCATTTGTTGTTTGCTTTGCCTGGAATCCTCTTCTCGCCTGATGTGTACATGACTCATAGTCTTCAAGTAATTGCTCAAATACAGCCTCTCAGTGTGGCCTATTTTAAAATGGCAAACTTCTCCCAGGCATTCTCTCTTCTCTGCAATACTTCTCTCCACAGAATTTGTCACTTGCTGATACACTGGTTTTATTTTGTTTAATGTCTTGTCTTCCTATTAAAATGTAAACTAACCAAAGGTAGTAATCTTCATCTGCTTTACCGCTGTATCCCCAGCAACACTCAAATATTTGCTGAATGAATGAACATGCCAAATAGTTGAACATGAAATAGCTTATAAACTGGGAGGTGCTAGCTCAAAAAAGAATACTAAGGATGAAGAGTATATTATAAATGATCATCAAAGAATAAAGTTGCAGTGAATGATTTCATCAACAGCCAGATGAATTCTCCCAAAAGTGAAACTCCCTTTTGTAGAAACCATGGCCTTCTAATCATGTGACTTCAGATGGGGCTTCGGCATGTACAAACAAAGCAAAACAATTGGCCAAGTTTGTCAGAAGTGCCTTTATTCTTACATCGAGGTTGTGGACATTCATTACATTTAAATATTTACAATGCTTCAAAATACATACTGGAGGAGAAAAATATATAAAACTGAAACTGTACAAAGTTCTCCATTAAAATAGTTTAAATAAATTCTCTGTCAATACCAGACTGAGTCAGTGACTGGATCTGGACAACAGAGCTTAGAGCTTTCTACATAATTACATGAGAACACTTGAATAAGTCTTTGTAGACATCGCCATAATGACCGCTCGGTTAAAATCATACCCTGTCTTCCCGACGCAGCTTAGAGGACAGGCAAGAAAAGGAACTGACGGGAAATTACTGCATGTAATACAGTTCTGACTCTATTTGCCCTTTTTGGTCTTGGCTGTCTTCTCCTTTCTTTTTTTCACATGTTTAGGAATTTTGTTTTTTCTTTTTTCTCTCTGAGCTTCCTTGACCATCTTTTTCCTTTCCTGTAAAACAAAACAAAAAAAAAACTTAAAAAATCTGTGAAATACATGTAGAAGTAAAAAATAAAGACTTACGTGGAGAACTTCACAGTTGTTTTTCTATGAATCAAATTTCAAATAATACCACTAATCCAATCAAGAGGAAAGGCGGTATTTGGACAAAAAAAAAATACTCATTTCCCCCCCCTGAAGTTTAGCAGTTTTTAAAGCAGCAGGGAGTACTTTTTTTTAAAGACAAGGTTTTACTTATTTATTTTTTTTAAATCCTCACCCAAGGATATTTTTCCATTTATCTTCAGATACAGTGGGAGGGAGGGAAGGAGGGAGGGAGGGAGGGAGGGAGGGAGGAAAACATCAGTTGGTTGTCTCCCACACAACCCAACGAGGGCCAGGGATGAACTGCAACAGAGGTATGTGCCCTTGACCAGAACTGAACCCACGACTCTTTGGTCCCCGGGCCGACACTCTAACAGCTGAGGCAAACCAGCTACGGCAATGAGGTTTTCTTTTTATAAGAAAATTTAATTTATGTTATTCACATTGCTACAATTAAATAAAAAGATATATGTAAAGGATAATAAAGTGTAACATGGAAAAATAAAAATGATATGGTTTGGTGATAGAATCTGGGATGAAACTGTCTTAAAGGTATCCTAATAGAAATGTGAAGACAGCCAAAAAGAAATATTCATGAGGATGTAATTAAATGTTTGCAACTACTTTTCTCTACAAGTTTTATATTCTACAGAAGTAAAGGCTGGAAAGAGACAAAATATTTATTCCCAGTAAACAAGGAGAGAAAATGTAGTAACAGAAAGTTGGGTATGTGTCTCAGAAGTCTTAAAATCCATACTTTATAAAGATTAAGGATTAAGCTAAGAATGAAGAGTGATAGTTATACAGCTCTCATGTATCATTCAATCATTAGTGTGTCTTCTGTCAACAGCCAGCGTGGAAGAAACTGTCTTTTAGAATCCGGAAACTCTGGGCTGTAAATCCCCCTGAAAAGGGCTCTTCGGTATTTCACTCTGAGGCAACCCCAGCATCATTTGTACTTCAAGTGAACGACAATCATTTCTAATCAATGTACCGAATTCAGTGTGTCCGCTCCCTGGGCAGTGCCCAAGGAGCTCCCAAGAGAAGCCCAATCTCTAGGTAATGTCACTACCAAAAACAAAGTGCATGCTTAGGAGCTGAAACTACAATTAGAGGCATGTACTCATCAACATGGTTCCAGCCACCATAATCTAGACTTGAGAAAAGAGAAATGAGAGAGGCTACGCTGCCATGTTAAAGAACAAGGGAGTTTCATTCTCGGCTAACCTTTCTATCAACGTCAAGGTCAGCGGTGGGTTTCCTGGAGCGCGCACGGTCTCCCTGCTCTTCAGAATCTGCGTCAGAACACTCAGAGCTTCCATCATCTTCTGAATCGGAGCAATTCTTTTCCTTAACCTGATTTTCTAGGAGTGCAGGGACCTTGAAAATATTACCGAACCACGTTATTCTAAACCACTCAGTTATCTATTGTCATCAAATGTGTGAATGCCAGAATTCAGATTTCAGCCTTGCTATTCCAGTAAGGCCCAAGAACACACCCAGATGAAGAAACCGGGGCTTCACTGGATGACCCAGACCAACAACATGACTGTTCCGCTCCAGAAAAGGAGGGCTGAGCTGGGCTTTGGAAGGACAGTCATGTGCTGCCTAACAATGGGGACACGTTCTGAGAAATGCATTGTTAGGTGATTCGTCATTGTGCAAACACACTGTACAGCCTGCTGCTATAACTGTACGTGCTATACTTGTACACAACTGTTAGCACAGGTTGTTTACACCAGCACCACCACAAACATGTGAGCGACATGTTGCACTAGGATGCTGTTAGGTCATAAGGTAATAGGAATTTTCCAGTTCCATTATAATTTCACAGGACCACAATCAAATATGAGGTTGGTTGTTGACCGAAACATCGCTTTGCGGTCATGACTGTGAAATACAGACAAACATAAAAAAGACATATTTGAATATCTTTTTTTTTTTGGTACATGCCCCTAGCAGGAACCGAACCCAGGACTCTCTGGTCCACAGGGTGACGCTCCAGCCACTGAGCCAAACCGGCCAGGGCCGTATTTGAATGTCTTTACAGCTGTTTTCCTATGAATCAAATTTGAAGTAACAATCTGATCAAGAGGGAAGATGATATTTAAACAAAAGAAATTTTCATGTTTTTTTCCCCTGAAGTTTAGCAGTTTTTAAAGCAGCAGGAAGCACTTTTTAAAAAGAGGTTTTCTTTTTATAAGAAAAAAAAAACATTTAAAAGTCAATTCTTCTCATAAAAGACAAAGTAAATTTTCAAAGAGCAAACGGATCCTTTGCATTTAAGCCTTTAATTAAAAACATTAAAAGAAATAAAAACTACCTTTATTATTGCTTCAACTAGAATTAATCCCTGCTGTTCTAAAATGTAAAACAAAACAAGATTGTTTTAAGAAAAAAAACACTACAAGAATCCAGCACTGTAACACTGCTAAACTCCTGAGATTACTCTTCATACACAGTTTATTATTATTATTTTTTTAATCCTCACCCAAGGACATTTTTCCCTTTTTTTTGTTCAGATAGTGTTAGAGGAAGAGAGAGGGAGAGAGAGAGAGAGAAACATCGACGTGAAAGGGACATATCGAGTGGCTGCCACCTGCACGACCCAACCAGGGCCAGGGACAAACTGCAACTGAGGTACGTGCCCTTAGCGGGAACTAAACCCGGGTCTCTCAGGAACGCAGGCCAATGCTCTAACCACTGAGCAAACCAGTCAGGGCTTCATACACACTTTTAATAAGCTGGTTGTAAAAACACCAAGAAGCACATGGTTATTATTAATAACTTCACAAATGAAGACCAGGATATAAAAGAGATCAATGCCTCAGCTATAACAACAAAACAATCCAGAGGCAGAAAGACATATAAACCATAAATTTCTGTATTTTAGTCTTATGGTTAAAGAGAGTGAACACAAAAAGTACATTTCTGAAAATGCTCACAAACTTTGAAAGTACATATACTAATAACTGTATCATTGTTAATTTTTATTCTAATACTTTACATTAAATTTTATACCCTTTAAAAAAGAGTTTCCACGTAAATAAATAGCAACACATATTCTTTATACCTTCTGAACGCCTGACAAATCTTTTTTCAGTCCTGTGACGGTTTGGTATAGAATCTTGTAACCACAAAGAAAGAAAACAAAAATTAATGTAAAATTAGACAGTGAAATAACACACTCCAACATTAACAAACAACACTGTGGGCTAAATGATATATTGTGGAATTATAAAAAGATGCCTTAAGCTTATCTCACAGAAAAAAGAAAGCTTATAGCATGAGTGTTATTCATATCCACTAAGCATACAGGCATCAGAGAATTCGAGCCCACAGGCCAAATCCAACCGACAGACTAGGTTTCTACTGATGAATATTCATAATCAATTTGATCATGGAAAACTCTAACTCTGAGTTTCAATGAAATGAAATATAGTCTCCTCCCCAAAATAACGCTATTCGTCTCACGTTAGTAGACCTGTATCATGAAAAGCTGTATTCAGTTCTTACTAAAATGTGTTTTTGTTTCATCAATAAAAATTTGGAGGAAATTTTTTTCTCTCTTTTTATATAATGACCTACACATGATAGCCTCAATTTTGTTTCTTGGCCTGCAAAGCCTAAAATATTTTCTATCTGACCCTTTAACAAAAATAATTTTCCAGACCCTGAAATATATATCCATTAATGGATCCAGTATAATAACCATTTATATCCTAGACTTCTATACAAATCTTCCTTCTTCTGCAATTACAGTCTGTTGGACTCATATAAACATGTCATTTTCTTTCACAAAAACCAATGAATTCCCTTTACATCCAATGAGCACAAAGGACATGTTAATGCAAAAGGAATTAGCCACCTCCCCAGATTAGAAGCCAACATTCAGGGCTGCAGGTTGGGAATGGTAGCTTCCTTCGTAAACTTGCTTGCTACATATAAACCAAGCTACTCACATTGTCTTGTTGGGCATTCATGGCCATGTCCTCTTCCTTCAATTTCATCATTATATCCATATCCCTCTCATAATTTTTTACTTCCTTCAAGGTTCTAGGAATATATGCTCGCTTAAACACCTAACGAACACAGAGGAAAAATAAAATCGAAACAGTTATTCACATACTTCTCATATTTGCTAAGCATCCTCACCCCCACCAAGACATAAAATAAAATCCATCCTTATCATCTACAACACTGATTCTTGGCCAGGCCGTCTGCACAGGCTGGTGTTGCATGTGTCGTGGGCTGTGCCAAAAGTAATTTGTTACCAATGATAAAAGACTAAATATGACACTAAGGTTACCCTTAGAAAACCACTTCTCTCTACTGGTTTGCATTCCAAAAAGTTTTTCTGAGTGGGAGAGAAAGGAACGTAATTGCCGAACTGTGCCTTACAGAGAAACAAGTTCCGACATGGGAACATCACCCACTGTGTGCTACAGTGAAAAACGGTTCAGAACTGCTGACAAACATAGGGTACCTTATACTAAGACAGCACACTAATTATCTGTGAGAATTTTTTAAAAATAAAATAAAGCCTACTAAGATCACCTTCACAAAAAATACACTGACTCTCAAGATTAAAATAATTTTCTCTTTCATTAAACATAAATATTTAAAATCTAAATTACCAATGGAATCAACATTTAAATCATTTAAAAATCTACATTTGCAAACTAAAACAGGCTTACCCCCTTTTTTCTTTAGATTTTTAAAATTGATTTTGAGAGAGAGAGGAAGGGGGGGAGAGAAAGAGAAGTATCAATGTGAGAGAGAAAAAACTATCAGCTGCCTCCTGCACGCCCCCTAGTGGGGATCAAGTCTGCAACCCAAGCATGTGCCCTGACTGGAAATCAAACCAGATGGGACAACACCCAACCAACTGAGCCACACCAGCCAGGGCAGGCTTTTCCTTTTTGAATCATATACTCCAATAGGTTCTTTAATGGGTTGCTGAGTGAAATGATGTAATGAAATGTAAGTTATACAACGATTATGTAATATATTACATCTGAAGGACATATTATCATTTTTAAAAAATACTTTCCTATTAAAATCAAGTTCATGTCTTAACAATATTTTTTAAAAGATCCCAAAGCACAAGTGTTTCCTAAGGCTGTGAACAGATGATAAGTCTTACCTCTTCATCCACATGCTCCTGGCTGGACCTTTCCTCCTTGGTCCTTTGAGACGCTATTTCCATGGCCTTGGAAAGAAAACAATTACTGTCCTTTACATTCAACCTACAGAAGATATATCCATTTCCCAATTTTAGTATAAATCTGCTCTAATCTTTCTCAGTATCACCTCTTCACACTTGTAAAAAAAAAAACTTCACTGTCCTCTAGTGGTCAGATTAACTCTCCATGTCAGACCTCATCAAAAAGGCTGCCATCAATCCAAAAGTAACAGAATAATCAAATTTGTCTCGCCTCAGGGAATCCGTAGCCCCTTTCTCAAAAGTAATACTACTTTTACTAAGTTTTAAACAATTAGGAAAAATACCTCCTAAAGAAAAACTGAGCCCAGCTGGTGCAGCTCAGTGGTTGAGTGTTGACCCATGTACCAAGAGGTCACCGGTTTGATTTCCGGTCAGGGCACATGCCCAGGTTGTGGGCCAGATCCCCAGTGGGGGGCATGCAGGAGGCAGCCAATCAATGTTCTCTCTCATCGATGTTTCTATCTCTCTCCCTCTCCCTTCACTCTCTCAAAAAAATCAATAAAGAAAAAAAAATTTTTTTTTAAAGATAAACTAGACCCAAAGAATGAAAGAACTCCTGAGCAGTCAAGGAAGGGAATCAAAGAGAAAGTGGAGCCCTGGCCGGTTTGGCTCAGCAGATAGAGCGTCGGCCTACGGTCCGGAGAGACCCGGGTTCGGTTCCCACTAAGGGCACGTACTTCGGTTGCAGTTTGTTCCCGGCCCTGGCTGGTCGTGCGGGTGGCAGCCACTCGATGTGTCCCTTTCACATTGATGTTTCTCTCTCTCTCTCTCTTCCTCTCTCTCCCTCCCAATCTATCTGTACAAAAATTGGAAAAATGTCCTCAGGTGAGGATAAAAAAAAAAAAAGAGTAAGTGGATTGTCCTCTAATTTGAGCATATGGCTCTAATGCCCTGCAGCATAAATCACCAAAGAAAGCAATCTGAACAATGACTGACACTAAAAATGTGACAAAGAGTTTAGAGAATTCTTTTGGCTTGTAAAACTGAAGATTTGTTCTCTATTCAGAATATACAGAAAAAAGGAAAGAACACTGGATCTAGGTAGCTTTTTAAGGTCAGACACTAAAATTAGTGTTAAACAGTTTAGGAATAAAAATGATATGATACTTATTCATTCAATTAACATATGTGATTACTTACTACTGCCAAGTACTGATTAGGTACTGGCAATACAAGAATAAAATCCCCGTCCCTTAGGAGTTTACGTAGAGAGTGACAAAATTAAAAAAAAAACAAAAACTTTATATATGAAGTGATACAATGTGACTACTTATATTAGTTACATTAATATGAAAATATAGTTGGCCCTCCATATCTGTGTATCTGTATCTATAGGTATCTTCATCCCTAGATTCAACCAATTTTAGATTGGAAAAATTTGAAAAGAAAGTTACATTGCTGCTGACATGTACTATGTAGTTAGGCCTATGACGGCTGCATCTGTACTGAACGTGTACAAACCTTTTTCTTGTCATTTTTCCTAAACAATACAGTATAACAATTATTTATATAGCATTTACATTATATTAGGAATTATACAGTAATCTAGACATGATTTAAAGTAGATAGGAGGCTGTGTGTTATATGCAAATTCTACAACATTTTATATAAGGGACTTGAGAATCCTTGGATTTTGGTACCCTCTAGGGTCCTGGAACCAATCCCCCTGGGATACTGAGGAATAACTGTACATCTTGGGAAATAATTATTTCTGCCTGGTTTCTCCAGAAAGCTTTCTGAACTGAGCTTTAAATGTCATTTGGCAAAGCAAGATGAAGAAAAGTAGAAATGTAAAGGCATTCCAGGGAAAGAAAAAAAATAAGAAAGGGTATGATAAAACCTGAAAAGTTATGTAGGGGCATATATACCACATGTTCTATATTCTATGATTTGGGAGTAACAAAGAAAAGGCAATCCATGGAATGGGAGAAAATATTTATAAATTACACAGGGTTAATAATATCCAAAGAACTCCTTTAACTCAAAAAAATCTGATTAAAGCCCTGGCCAGTTTGGCTCAGCGGTTGGAGCGTCGGCCTGCGGACCAGAGAGTCCCGGGTTCGGTTCCCACTAGGGGCACGTATCAAAAAAAAAAAAAAATCTGATTAAAAAACAAGACAAAAGACTTGAATATCTCAGCTGGTGTGGCTCAGTGGTTGAGCATCGACCCACCCATGCACCAAGAGGTCCCTGGTTTGATTCCCAGTCAGGACACATGCCCAGGTTGTGGGCCCCATCCCCAGTGGGGGACATGCAGGAGGCGGCCATTGATGTTCTCTCTCATCAATGTTTCTATATTTCTATCCCTCTCCCTTCCTCTCTAAAAATCAATAAAGAAAAAAAAAAAGACTTGAATAGACATATCTCCAAATATAGAGAAATGGCCAACAAGTACACAAAAAGATGCTAAACAGTACTAGAGAAATGCACATCTAAACTATGTGACATCACCTCACACTCATCAGGACAGCTGTCAGTACCAAGTGTTTGTGAGGATGTGGATCAACCGGAACACTGGCACTGTTGATGGAAATGTAAAATGGTGCAGTCACTAAAGAGAACAGTATGGCTACTACTCAAAAAATTAAAAGTAGAATTACCATATGATCCAGTAATTCCACTTGTGGGTGTGCATCGAAAGAACTGAAAGCAGGGTCTTGAGATATTTGTACACCCATGTTCACAGCAACAGTATTCACAACAGCCAAAAGACAGAAGTAACCCAGGTGTTCACAGATGGATGAATGGATAAATAAAATGTGGTATACATATACAAAGGAATTATTACTCAGTCTTTAAAAGGAAGGCAATTCTGACACATCCTATACCATGAATAAACTTTGAGGACATTATGCTACATAAAATAAGTTAGCCAGACCTGGCCGGTTTGGCTCAGCGGTTAGAGCGTCGGCCTGCGGTCCGGAGGGACCCAGGTTCGGTTCCCGCTAAGGGCATGTACCTCGGTTGCAGTTTGTCCTCAGCCCTGGTTGGGTCGTGTGGGTGGCAACCACTCAATGTGTCGCTTTCACGTCGATGTTTCTCTCTCTCTCTCTCCCTCTCACTCTATCTGAACAAAATATCGAAAAATGTCCTCGGGTGAGGATAAAAAAAAAAAAAAAAAAGTTAGCCAGAAAAAGACAAATCGTGTATGAGTCCACTTATATGAGCAGTCAACATCACAGACAGGAAGTAGAGTGGGCTGGGCAGAGGGAGAAAGGGGGACTTAAGTGTTTAATGAATACTGAGTTTGTTTCACAAGACAAAAAACTTCTGTGGATGAATGTGGTGATGGCTGAACAACCTGAATGTACTTAATGCCACTAAACTGTGCACTTAAAAATGGTTAAAATGTTAAATTTTATGCTCTATATATTTTACCACAATTTAAAATTTTTGTGATTCAGAAAAGCCTCTGAGAAACAAGAAAAGAATTAATGACCAAAAGCCAACAATAGTTTTCTTATTAAATGTTCATGACTTTGACAATCTATGTAACCTTGCCCAAGGATTCAAGTTAAGAAACCTGGCTTTACCTTTGTCTTTTCACTATACTTTTGATTCTCCGTCTGTGAAATCAGAAGGAAAATGTCTCAGAAAACTGTCAAATGAACAGAAATTATGCTGAGCAATCTGAGTCCTCAGAAGTGCCATGTAAATGCAAATTGCTAGCGCTATTTTCCATTTTTTTAATCCTCACCCGAGGATATTTCTCTATTTATCTTCAGATAGAGTGGAAGGAAGAGGGGAGGGACAGAGAGGGAGAGAAAGGAAGAGAGAGAGAAACATCAACGTGAGAGGGGCACATCGACTGGATGCCTCCTACACGACCCCGACCAGGGCCAGGGACGAACCACAACTGAGGTACGTGCCCTGGACCGGAACTGAACCCGAGATTCATTGGTCCGGGCCGACGCTCTACCACTGAGCCAAACTGGCGAGGGCCTATTTTCTATTTTTTTCCTTCCTGGCCCATCTCACCTTTGAGAGATAAGCATCCATGTTCTCTGGTGTAATCGATGGGTCTGTGACAAATTCAAAGAGCTCCCGCACCGTCATCACAGCAACACTGTGCTTCAAAAAGAAATCTGTCAGAAGAAAAACGTTAATGATAGCTTTACAAGGGGAAAGGTTTTTATTCCAACAACTATGCAGAGAAACAAAGAAATAAAAACATACTATCTGCCAGCTGATGGTTTAAGTTCACTGCATCAAACAATTCAGTGCCAAGATTTCATATCAACACCTCAACAGAGTACAGAACCAATGAACACAAACAAGCTGGTAGAAAATAATAATTTCCACTCACCATTGACATTGGCACAATCTTTTCTCAAGAACTCCAAGGCATGCGGGTGGTCATGCTCCACAGACTGAGAAACATCAATGATGTACACACCCCCACCACTGTACCTGGGGGCCAGACAGGCAGGGACTGTGAGAAACACCAGTGATGTGCACACGTCCCCTAGTGACATGAGGACTCAATTCAATGACTTAATGTCACCAAAGGCAGGAAACACATCCTATACTGTGACCATGAGGAAGCTAACTTTAAAACTTTAAAATTTAGTATGACATCTTGGATTGGAATTTGCTTATTTTTTCTAAAGGACATGAAACTACTTATGGGAGATTCCTAAAGGATAAAACATACTCACAGCATGTTAAATTCACTAAGATCTGCGTGGACGAGTCTGGCATCCTGATACATTATTCTCATGTACTGAATGACCTGCAGGTACAACTCCCGAGCCTTAAATTCTGATAACTGGATATTTTTCAGGAGTGGTGCTGGCCTTTAATAAGAATAAAATAAACAGTGAGGACAACTAACCAAGACAAGTTTTCTTGCCTTCTTTTAGTACTCACCCAAGGATATTTTTCCATTGATTTTTTTGACAGAGTGAGCAGGAGTTAGGGAGGGAGAGAGAGAACATTGATGTGAGAGAAACACATCCCACATGACCCTGACCAGGGCCGGGAATCGAACTGCAACCAAGGTACGTGCCCTTGACCAGAATCAAATCCACAACTCTTTGGTCCAAGGCCCGATGCTCTAACCACTAAGCAAAACTGGCCAGGGCCACGTTTTCTTGCTTTATACTACTTTTGTTACAGGCACTTCCGTTCCACAACTCCTCACTGCACAATCTGGTTCACTACCCATGCACCTTTCCAGTAACTCACCAACAAACAGGTGTTTTCCCAGCTTACCGTACAAAAGAGTCCTCAAAAACACAGTGAACTTTGTTATTTTAAAGTGTTTTGAGACTTAAAAAGGTAGAAGAAATTAATAACTCTATGTACTGATATACTGGGAAAGAATCATAAAAAATATTCCAAGATGAAACAAGTTGTTTAAATGGGAAATATTCATATATTGGATAGATAATTCAAAGCACTTAAAAATACAATTCTGGCCTGGCTGGTGTGGCTCAGTGGTTGAGTGCCGACACATACACCAAGAGGTTGCTGGTTTGATTCCCAGTCAGGGCACATTCCCAGGTTGTGGGCCAAATCCCCAGTGGGGGGCATGCAGGAGGCAGCCAATCAATGTTCTCTCTCATCGATGTTTCGATCTCTCTCTCCCTCTCCCTTGCTCTGTCTCTAAAATCAATAAAGAAAAAAAAAGTTTTTTAAAATACAATTCTGAGCATGTAATTATTAGGACTTCCACATACTCACATGTCATCTTTACCAATGAAACCCATGACAAGAACATGACTTCTTAGCAGGATAGGTTCTGGGCATGGGATCCCTGCTGTGTTTAGCCTGTGATATTAAAATAGATACAAGCACAAATGAAAAGTTGAAACAGCATCTAAAACAAATTACAACAGCTACAGTGTACAAGATTAATATCGCTGTTAGGAAACAGCACCAGGGTCTCTCAAATATATTACTGACTTCAAAAACTATAAGACATTGTTGATTTTAAGAAGCACCATCATGCACCATCAAGAACAACAAAACACTGGCAATTCAACTACTACATCCCATAACCTCTAACACTCAATCCAATTCCAGAAATGTTAAACTGTGGGGAAAAACAAAAGTGTCTTCAAGTTGATGAAATACAGCAGATATGTCTGCAACAATCTTTCAAGCTGATCAGCCTGAGCAATGATTAGTAAAAACAGTTGGACTCGTACCTAATAGCTAACTGAGCATACCCAGATTTCACAAGGGCTTTGAAAACAAGCATTAGTACCTGCTGAATACTAAAATAACCAGTGTACATCATCTATGTACAGCTTATAAGGCGTCAGCTCAAAGACTAAGTAAATGTGTCCAAAACTGAAATAAGAAAAGGAAACTGATAAAAGAGTTTGGGACTTAACCTGCAGTCTGGAGAGACCTGGGTTCGGTTCCCGCTAGGGGCACGTACCTCGGTTGCAGTTTGTCCCCGGCCCTGGTTGGTCGTGCGGGTGGCAGCCACTCGATGTGTCCCTTTCACATTGATGTTTCCCTCTCTCTCTCTTCCTCTCTCTCCCTCCCACTCTGTCTGTACAAAAAATGGAAAAGTGTCCTCGAATGAGGATAAAAAAATAAATAAATATAAAAAAAAGAGTTTGGGACTTAACAAAACTGTCTAAAACTCTAATACCTATTTAAAAACAACACCTCATTCTCACCACCTGATTAAGTCATTCCCCTACTTAAACTCCTAAAACAGTCCTGGCCAGTTTGGCTCAGCGGTTAGAGCGTGGGCCAGCAGACTAATAAGTCATAGGTTTGATTCCAGTCAAGGGCATATAACTGGGTTGCAGTTCGTCCCCAGCCCTAGTCAGGGTTGTGCAGGAGGCAACCAGTCGATGTGTCTCTCTCACATCTTTCTTTCTTTCTCCCCCTCCCTCTTCCTCTCCCCCTCCCCTTCTCCCCCTCCCCCTCCCCCTCTCCCTCTCCGTCTCTCTCTCCCTCCCTCCCTCCCTCCCTCCCACTCTATCTGAAGATTAAACAGAAAAATATCCTTGGGTGAGGATAAAAAATAAATAAATAAATAAAATAAAAACCTTGTAACAGTTCCTTATCACCCTCAGTATAAATTCTAAACATTTTCCCATGTCTTCTAAGGCTCTTTAATGACCCGGCCTTTCTGAATAAATGTTAAATTGTGCGTTCTTAGAACAGACAAGGTAAGGTAGCTCCTACTTGTCCAGAAATTTGTTTCAGCTGACCCCAGCAGATCCCATGGGCCTAAACTCAGAGCGCCACCGTGTCCCTGCCTTTGGACAGAACCACACTGGGGTCTGCTGGCAGGAAAGAACTGAAGCCAATGCACAGGGCATGGCACAGACACACCCCCAGACAGTCACCTGATCAAATTCCTCATTTCTTTTTCTGCCCAAGTTTTCACCATTTTTCTGGGGTTTCCTTTACAATAGCCATGACGGAATCTTGAAAAAGAAAAAGATTTGTTATTGGAATCATTCCACTCTAGTTTTTATTTTTTAGAATATAGAAATTAAGCCAATTGGAAAAAAACATCTGAACTCACCTGAATTCCCCACTTACATATTTATCCCGATCTTTGAACACCAATATAGAAGTTTTATAAATTTTGATTGCTCTGTTCTCTCCGTTTGTTGTGCTAGCATGGTATACATTAGCCTATTTTAAGTCAAAACCAAAGAAAATTAAGTTTGTGTTAAAGATCTACAAATAGTATTTTACTTTTTTAATCTATTTGATTCCATCCTCAAAAGTTAAATAAGTCAAATGAACTGAAATAACATGTATAAGGAACACCATCATCTTTTGAATATATAAATTAAAATATAAACCATCATACCAAAAGATACAGTAAATATACCTCCAAATTATATATATAGTAAAATCCAACTTAAATACATGTGAGAAGCAGTTTCAAACATTTTTATATCTCAACATGTGGAAAATACTTGAAGACATTCTCACATCTCGTGATTTATTAATTTAATTCTACTAAGAACTGCTTCCCATAAAATAAGTTGCTAATTTAAAAACACCATGCTTGTCTATCTGCATATCCATATATAGAGAAATAAAAAGAGAAAGACATTAGTTGACTCACAGAAACTAGACCATAACGCCCTGCCCCTATCCCTAACTATCCGATTAGGACTCAGGCCTGCAGTAACCTGACCATCCAAGCCCACTTACTGCTTGGACCACTGACACGGTAGAGTGACAACTGTGAAAAGGCACAATTATGTGCACAACCTCCTACCTCACTATAAATACTAACAAAGACATTTTTAGAAATATTAATTAAACTAACCTGACTTGCACATAGTTGTTTTTTTTTTCTTTTTAAAGGCACATTTTATTTACAAAGTGCCTTAGTTTCATTTATTGTCTGAAATAAGAAAGCTAACATGAAAACATTCAAGCATCCAAAGAAAAGCTCACTTCTTTTCCTGTGCTAATGCAGCCATTTATCTCTGATATGATTCCTCTAGTCAACATCTTGAATAATATCATTCGTGTTCTGGGATCCAACACCTAAAAAGAAATGCAAAAAACAGAAGTCATTCAGTCAGAAATCAAAGGCTATCAAGTCCAAAGGAAGCAGAAACTGACTCTAGACCAACATTTACAAATGCAAACTACTTAAGTAATTTTACATTTCCTAGTCACTATATTAATAAATGTAAAAGATAACAGATAAAATTAGTTTTAATGCATTGTATTTAATCCGATACATCTACAACATGATTATTTCAACAAGTAATCAATACTTTAAAAATTAGCGAGGGATTTAATATTCTATTTTTTACCCTAAGTCTTCAAAATTAGGTGTGTATTTACGTTTATGGCACGTCTCATTCAATCAGCCACATTCCAAGTGCTCAGTGGTCACTCTTTTTGAACTAGAGGTCAGCACCCTACAGCTCATGAGTCAAATCCAGGATGCAGCCTGTTTGTCTACAGCCTGCAGGCTAAGAATGGTTATTACATTTTAAAATACTTCTTAAAAAAAAACAACTGTGAGCCACAATGCTTCAAGTATTTATTCTTTAGCCCTTTAAAAGAGCCCCTTGCTGTGGACGAGTAAATCAGGGAAAGGGTCTCCTTCCAAGTGACAGCGGCCAATTTTGAGTAAAGAAGACCCCAAAGCCCTCTTTCACAAACAGGAGGCAATGAACTAAAGCCTGCTCCTGTCCATGTCTGAAACTGAAGCGGCCACATATTTACATGCAATTTCAAGGGACACCCGCAGCAGTTCCTCATGGCTCAGGCAGCCCCTCCAGCTCCATAAAGTGAGACAGTGTCAAATGGCCATATCTAACTATACTCTAGGGTATATCCTTCAATGAAGTGGCTGTGGTCATATCAGAAACCTAAAATTAATAGAAACAAAATAACCTTAAAAGACTGCAGAACTATAACCCAACCTACTGTGTGGCAACTGGAAGAGAATGAAAGGAAAGTAAGCGAATAGGTCACAACTAACATTCCTTCTCCACCGCACAGGTAAACAGCAAGGACGTAAGCTGGTTGAGCACAGGAATCCAGATAGAGACCTGGGCTTCTGCAAAACTAGTGGTAGCCACATGAGGGGAGTAGCAGAAAGGAGTAACACACCAAAATGGCTTAAAAACAAAACCAGTAAAGAGAAATAGGATAAGACAATAAACTTACAAATACATATTTTATAAAGACAGTTTAAGATTCAAGATACATACTCTTATTCAAAATTAATTTCAAAAAAGAAAAAAAGAAAGAAAGGATTTTCTGCCTGAGTTATTTTAGAGTCTTGGAAAAGTAAAGCTATCTGAGCTTGACCACACTTTGTTTTCAATCCCAAAAAGAAATCACACAAAATAAACAAATAAGAGAAGAATGAAGACACAGATCCCAGACCTGCTCCTACCTGATTAACTGTGAAATTCTTTAACTGCACAAATGGTTCTAGAGCTCCGATTCGGTGTTACTCCTTGGGGACTGAGGTCAATAGTAGAAGGGTGCTTCTGTAGGTCAAAGAGGCTACTATCCCAAAAGGTGTTTGTGCATATGTGTGTGGGTAGGGAGAGGGCGGCAGGCTGCAGCAGCAATGTTCTGACCCTTTTCACTGTTCACATTAAAAATGTGGATCAGCCCTGGCCGGTTTGGCTCAGCAGTTAGAGCGTCAGCCTGCGGTCCACAGAGACCCGGGTTCGGTTCCCGCTAAGGGCATGTACCTTGGCTGCAGTTTATCCCCGGCCCTGGTTGGGTTGTGTGGGTGGCAGCCACTCGATGTGTCCCTTTCACATCGATGTTTCTCTCTCTTGCTCTCTCTCCTTCCCGCTCTATCTGAGTAAAAAATGGAAAAATGTCCTCGGGTGAGGATGAAAAAAAAAAAAATTAAAAATATGGATCAGTGCTAACATCCAGTCACAATCCTCTACATGTGGGAAAAATAGGGGCCAACTTTCCCCCATTCTTAAATAGAAAGAAACAAACAAGCATAATTTCTAAACCAAGTAAGGGATTTCTAATTGAAAATTTTAAGGCATCACATGTCTCCTTCTCTCTCACACACTACCAGGCAGATACCTGACCTATATTCTGAGAAAGTTCACAAAATTCCTGCAGCCTTGATTAAGACAAGAGAAAAGAGTCCTGGTCTTACAGTCACTTCTGCATCCCCCTACAAAATGAAAGCACCGCATGATGGCTTCACAGGGCCACGGAGTGGGACATGACTCTAATTTATCTATTAATAGTTCTATTATAAATACAGCAAAATGTAGATCTCTAAACCCAAAACTGTAAATAGTAATTTTATATAGGAGTAATTTTATATAATATTAGCATTAGGCAAGAAGGATAAGAGCAAACTACAATTCAGAGAGGGGGAAAAAAAGCTACTTCAAAATAAGAACTTGTAACACATTTAAATTGTACCTGCTCTACAGTTGCTCTGTCTGCCTTATCTTTGATGCGATACCTAACCAAAAACAAAAAAGTGTTAAGTGACATTTAAAATTCAGAGAAGTTTCTACATGTATATTACTCTATGAAATTCCTAAGTAGGTGGTTTCTTCAATAACTGACTTCAGAATCTCATGTAGTTTCATCACTCAGTGAAATGTCTTCTACTTCCCCTTAATAAGCAATTCAATTCTCTACGGCAAAAGAAGCATATCTACAGTAAATATATATATATATATATATATATATATATATATATATATATATCCATAGTTTAAAAGCATTAAATAAATATAAGAGGAAGGGTAAAGTGAACTATGCTGTAAAAAAGAAAAGATCTCCCTGGCCGGTTTGGCTTAGCACTTAGAGCATCGGCCCGCGGAGGGTCGAGGAGGGTTCAATTCCAGTCAAGGGCATGTACCTGTGTTGCAGGTTCAATCCCCATCCCTGGAATGGGTCATGTGGGAGGCAACCAATCAATGTGTTTCTCATCAATGTTTCTCTCTCTCCCTCTCCTGTCCTCTCTCTCTAAAATAAAAATATATTTTAAAAAAAGAAAACATCAAGTCTATGTTGTCACTTAAATCTTTAACGATTCTATTAGTTCAGAATCAAAGTCCATTTATAAGGCTTTCTCTTTAGAGTCCTTTTCTTCAGATACATGTCAAGACATCATTTCAAGGCAGTTACTGAGTCTGTATTAAAATGCAAACTCTGATTAACTTCAGCTGACATGCCAAGTGATTCCGTTAGCACACAAACCTATACTAATAAAGATTCAAACACAAAGATTCAGACATTTCAGTAAAATAACAAATGACTATGGTGTTTCTCAAAAACTTAGTATGTCTTAGGCATAGCAATAAACCGGGAAAAAATTGGTTTTAGTCAGAAGAAAACTGGTTTGTAAGTTTAGTTCTAACACTGCTAGTTATATGATTTTGGTGTCACTTCCTATAATATATTGTTCACGTCTTAGAGTTAACAGCATATAGAAGTTAGCCAGATCTTAAATAACTGGTTTTGAGAACAGAAGTGTAAATGTAATCTGTTAATCAGGGCATTATATATATCATGCCCTGGTCGGTGGGGTCAGCGGTTAGAGTATTGGCCTGCAGACCAAAGAGTCGTGAGCTCGATTCTGGTCAAGGGCATGTACCTCTGCTGCAGTTCAGACCCCGGCCCTGGTAGGGATCGTGCTAGAGGCAACTAGTTGATGTGAGTCTCCCATCGATGCCCCCCTACCCCATCTGAAGAAATATATCCTTGGGTGAGGATTTTAAAAAATGTTTAAATAAATATTAAGTAAATAAATAAAATATATCATGAAAGGGAACAATTTTTTTTAATTCTAAAAAGGGAGCATTTTTATGCTATGATTTTAACCTTTTAAGAGTTGAAATATTTAAACAGAAATTTATAAGCACTGTTATCCTAAGAACACATTTGTGAATTTCACAAGATTACAGTTTTACCATATATTTCTAAATAAGACTCATTTAGTATTTCCAACTTAGGTTAAAAGAACAAATCCACCCCAAAACAAATATACCATCCTTTGCAGAAGAATTATGACCACAACACCACTTAATTTGTCTATAATTAGGCCCTATCAGTCATGTTTCATAGTTAAAATATTACTTACATATCTGCTTCCTTTTGTCTAGACTTTTCGGTAACTTTATTTATGACAGAATCAGTAACATTTAGCTTATCTAAAAATAGAAAAAAAAATCCACAATGTAAACATATAAGACTGCAGTAACAGTCTTTCTGAATAGGATAATTCTCCCCTCTTCCTTCTCTATTTTCTAAATATCGTATTACACATAGAATTTAGCAATGAAAACACTTTTAATATTTTTAAAGGTAAGCACTAAGCTGTGTTTCCTTGATAATAAGTGTCACTTTCATCACTACAGCTGTAATTTTGAGCCATAGAAATCTAGATACAGAAACTCAAAAATACTATACTTGCATATGCTGAATTTGACACTTAATATTTTTTACAACTAATATAGATAATGTAACTGCCTAAATTCCAAGTTCAATTCTAAAAACTTCATTTTCATTTCAAATTATAGGTCCATGAAAGACATAATGATAGGATATGAGATGATGCAGTGCTAGGTTTATAACAAGAGAAAGATGACCTTGCATTTTTCTCCAAGCATTCTGATTCCTTAATGCCTACATAAAATGTCTCTGGTAAATGAAATGTAATTATACTCAACATTCTAGTGTTTTCAACACCTTACTATGAGATTCTGACTACAAAATCTAATACAAAACATATAATAACTTGAATGAATCTGTAACTTTGTATTTATATAACAGGCAAGAAGCAAAACTAAAAGTAAGTTAAAGTCTTTTCCTTGAAGTAATGCTTTAAAATTACTAAATTCTTATTTTCTCTAAGCCTTAGTCAACAACATTGAATATACCCATTTCTTCTCTCTCTTTTTTTTAATCCTCAACCGAGGATATGTTTTTATTGATTTTAGATAGGGAGGGAGGGAGAGAGAAAGACAGAAATACTGATGTGAGAAACATCGACTGGTTGCCTCCCATACACGCCCCACTGGGGATCGAACTTGAAACCTAGGTATGTACCCTGACCAGCAATCAAACCTGCAACCTTTTGGTGTATGAGATGACGCTCTAACCTGGCCAGGGTATAAATATACTCATGTCTTGATCCAATAAAATTTTATAACACTTCATGTGTTTCTGAAGAATTTCCTCATAACCTAGTGAGAAAATGTATTTTAAAAACTCATTTAGGCCCTGGCCGGTTTGGTTCAGCGGTTAGAGCGTCGGCCTGTGGTCTGGAGAGACCCGGGTTCGGTTCCCGCTAAGGGCACGTACCTCGGTTGCAGTTTGTCCCCGGCCCTGGTTGGTCGTGTGGGTGGCAGCCACTCGATGTGTCCCTTCACGTCGATGTTTCTCTCTCTCTCTCTTCCTCTCTCTCCCTCCCACTCTATCTGTGCAAAAAATGGAAAAATGTCCTCGGGTGAGGATAAAAAATAATAATAATAATAAAAAAATAAAAAGACTTTTCTTTAAAAAAAAAACTCATTTAGATTGCCCTGGCCAGTTTGGCTCAGCGGTAGAGTGACGGCCCACGGACCAATGAGTCTCTGGTTCGATTCTGGTCAAGGGCACAACCTTGGTTGCGGTTCATCCCCAGCCCTGGTTGGGGTCGTGCAGGAGGCAACCAGTCAATGTGTCCCGCTCATGTCGATGTTTGTCTCTCTCTCCCTTTCTCTCCCTCTCTCTCTCCCTCCCACTCTATCTAAAGATAAATAGAAAAATAACCTCAGGTGAGGATTTAAAAACAACAACAACAACAACAAACTTACCTAGATTAATTTTATTCTCATATTTCCGTAAGACCTTGTCTGCTGGAGTAGACATTTTGGATGAATTACAGTTGGAAGGCTGTCGATTTGCCTAAAAGAAATGAGTTCCAGAATTTAAGGCACTAGTTATAAATACAAACCCAGGGTTTATCATCACATGTTTTGTTCCTTGGTTCATCGTTAACTATTAAAGCATCAACATTTAGAGGAGTACCCTAAGGAAAGATAAGAATCATTAAATTTGCTCAAAAATTTTAAAAAGGCATTTGAAACAGAAGGTTAGAGTTACTGGCTAAAACAAAACTTCTGCATAATCTGAGTGGATTTTTGTTTTGAAACCTTTTTATAATACATCCTTCATTATTATAAGTTAAAATTTAATGCATTTTTCTAATAAGATCTCAAACTTAAAAATGTTTATTTATGCCCAAAGTGAATAATAAAGAGCCAGGACCAATAAATAAACTGGTACTAAGAAGTTCATTTTGGGCCTAGACTCTCAAGAAAAAAAAAGATAAGGAATGAGGCTTAGTACTTAGACTAGTGCTATGCACAAACTTAAATAATGGCACAAAGAGAAGAAAGGGGAGGTGACATCCAGAACCCATAAATAAGAGAATCAGTACAGATAAAAAGGGCCTGTAACAATTACTGATTCTATCCTTTCTAAGCCTGGAATTTAGAGGCTGAAATGTTTCTTGTTTGCATAAAACTTAAAATTTTTTATTAAATATACCTTTCAAGATAAGCTTTAAATTAAAATATAAATTCTTAATAGAAAACACAAGTAAAATTTTAATCAGCTATAATGCTGGTGCCCAAAGATGATAGTTAACATTTAAGTACATTTACCTTTTTCCTAGCTTTATTAAAAGAAATTACACTACATGTTGAAATTGCTAAATGTCTCACCCATGAATCAATAGAGGAATTACCAAAGGAAAACTACAAAGGTGAAATTTCTTCAGCTATTTTATTTTTTTTAAATGTTTTCATTGATTTTTCAGAGAGAGGAACATCAATGTGAGAGAGATACATCTATTGGCTGCCTCCTGCATGCTCCCTACTGGGGACTGAGCCTACAACCAGGGCTCTGACCTGGGAATCGAACAGGGATCTCTCAGTCCATGGGGTGACACTCAATCCACTGAGTCACACCAGCTGGGCTTTTCTGTTATTTTAAAAATATATACATTCTAGTGCACAATATAGCTGTTTTCATTTTCAAAGAAATATTTTTTATTTCCTCCTATCTTTTGGGGAACCTTTATGCTCCAGTAAGATGCACCATGTTAACTCTACGGTTCTGCAAACTCCTGACACTTGGTATGTCAGTTTGAGAAGCAAGCTCTACATGGCTTAGTAACTTGTGTTTTGAACACAGTGGAAGATGGTAGATCATGAATATATTTCCAAGTCATTAATACAGTCTTCCATTGTAACATATTTATGGCTGCATAATATCCCATTGTGTGAACCAGCCCGACAGCAAATTTAATCAAGGTTGTTTTCAACATTCCTCTGCTAGAAACAATATTGGAGGATCATTTTGTAACTGAATCTTAATACACTCCTAGAAGAATTGTGAGTCAAAATGGTTTATTTTGTAAACTTTTATCAGTTTATCCTCCAAATAACTGCACCTATTTACTGGACCATCAATTATAAATTTTGTGTCTTTGTCAGTTTTACAGGTGGAAAAAAGGCATCTCTACATATTTAATCTGCATTTCTTTAATTACTAACAAAGTTGCATTTTTCTACACGTTACTTAACCATTTACAGAAAACTGCCTACATATTTCCTCTCCTCCACAGATTTTTAAGTTCATCATCTTATGACAATTTAACTGACTCTTTTAAATTTACTGATGATGGCCTTGGCCAGTTTGGCTCAGCAGTTAGAGCATCGGCCTGCGGTCCGGAGAGACCTGGGTTTGGTTCCCGCTAAGGGTGCGTACCTCGGTTGCAGTTTGTCCCTGGCCCTGGTTCGGTTGTGCAGGTGGTAGCCACTTGATGTGTCCTTTTTACGTCGATGTTTCTCTCTCTCTTTCTCTTCCTCTCTCTCCCTCTAACTCTGTCTGAACAAAAAAATGGAAAAATGTCCTCAGGTGAGGATAAAAATTAATTAATCAATTTACTGATCATGGAAGAAATCCACATCCATGACATTATCAGAACCATGGAAAGGTGAAAAATAAAAATTAATCAAGGCTGGGGCTACAGAGCAATATAATTTGAAAATCACTCAGTTACTCAATCCAAGACCACAAGTCTTTTTAAAAAACAAGACATATAGAGACATCCAAGATGGCAGGGAGGAGGTGGATGTTACACTCACTCCTCCCAGGATCAAACTGGAATCACAACTAAATTATAGAACAAACAACCTGAATGACGAACTGAAGGCTAGCCGAAGAAAAGTCTTACAACCAGTGATTTACAGAAGAAGCCACACCGAGATGGGTAGGAAATGTGGAACCATGAAAACGGATGACCTACTCCCATGGGCGGTGGCTGAAGTTCTGGAGGAATATCTCAGCTGCAAAGGCTCCCCCTGAGAAGCACAGGGTCTCAATCCCAAGCCAAGTTCCCCAGCCCAGATCATGAGAGCCGGGAACAAGCACCCACATAAAATTCTGTTGGCCAGGGAGAGAGAGAAGTCTGCTAGAGACACAGGCACTTTCTTAAAGGGCCAACACACAAAATCTCCTTCGCAGCCACTTGGAGGGAGGGCAGAGCACATTAGTGTCACGTGAGGAAACTAGGATTTGTGGCTCTGGGGAGAGAGCTAAAAGAACAGCCACCAAGATCCCTGGGCTGAGACACTCTCCCACACCACAGAGCACTCCCATCCGTAGGGTATCAGCCTGGGGAATGCAACAGCTCTACCCTCTAGATTCCCTCTCACCCCACCCTGCAGAGCGTTTGCCCTGCTGAGGAGTCAGCTGCCTGGGCCACAGTGTAGATGTCTGAGTAGACTCAGGGAGTGTTGGTGACTGAGTTGTGTGGCTTTGGGGCAGAAGCCATTCCCCACAGTTTCCCATGAATCTGACTGGGGCTTCAGTCTCTTGGGAGATCCACTAGCCCCACTCTCCAGGATGCTGGAGGCCCCAACCTGCCTAGATCAGGCTCCTGGCAGAATCTGGGTCAGACTCAATTATGTGGCTTTACACAAAGACCGTTATTCTCTCGCACAGCTGACTGGTGCAGAGCCCTCCCTTCACACAGCCAAATCTGGTCTGTCTGGGCCTGTTAAACCCTGCTGGACTCAACCTAAGAACTCCCTAAGATCCTGTCCCATTGCAAAGGTGTGTGAACACCCAGCAGGTAGCAGCTAGATTTGGTATCTCCTGGGTCATCTGTTGAATGGCCTCACACCCAGAACTGGCACTGAGTTTGAACCTATATCAATCTGGTAAACACCACTCACCTCTAACTGGTGACTCACTGAGAACCTACCTCATGCAACTGCAGTACTGCCAGAGGTTCTTTCAGCGACTGAGCTTAACAGGCAGCCAATAGGCAAAAGCAGTAAAAGGTAGATCTTGGGGTGCCTTGGGACTTTTGTTGACCTGTTTCCAGGCTCAGTGCTGGTAAAAGTTGGCCTTGGTGCGCAACTTGGTCTTTCCCATGCACACCCAGGCCTAGCAGTGGCAGCCACAAACTGTGGATCACTTTGTAACTCCAAAGAGGTTGCTCAAGGCCCAACACAGACATTATATGCCACTGACCTGCACCACAGTCCCTCCCAAGAGGCCTCAGAAACAACACACCCAATGGCCAGCTTCAGGCAACATAAGAGCAAGATCCAATAGAGTTTACAAGTGGAATATCCAAAGGGAAATTCCAAAGGCACCAGAGCCTGCTGAGGTAAATTTCGCTTCATGTGGTTAGCTCCTAAACAGCAGCTCGTACATTGTGGTTGGGGTTGATCCTCACAGCCAGCCAGCCTGAGGGTCGACCCCCTGCACAACAAGCCAATAGCAATCAAGACTCAATTATAACAGGAGGACCCACACAACCCACACAAGAGACATTCCAGCAGCACTCAGTTCAGGTGATCAAGGAAACTACGCAACTGGTTCCCACAGGACACTTACTACATAACGCCACTATACCAAGAGTGGGAGTCATAGCAGATCTACCTAATACATAGAAAAAAACACAAAGATGCCAAAAAATGGAGATAAGCAAACATACCCAAAATAAAACAACAGGAGAAATCTCCAGAAAAAGCTAAATGAAATGGAGGCAAACAATTTATCAGATGGTTTAAAAAAATGGTTATAAACGTGCTCAAGGAACTTCGTGAGAACTACAACAACATGAAACAGGACACAGAAACCACAAAAGAAAACCAGACAGAAATGAAGAGTATCTGAAATTAAGAATGTACTAGAAGAAATAAACAGTATAGATAAAGCAGAGGATCAAATCAGCAACTGGAAGACAAGGTAGCAGAAAACACCCAACAAAGCAGCAAGAAGAAAAAAAGAATTTAAAAAAAAAAAAATGAGGCCCTGGCCGGTTTGGCTCAGCGGTTGGAGCGTCCGCCTGCGGTCCGGAGAGACCCGGGTTCGGTTCCTGCTAAGGGCATGTACCTCGGTTGCAGTTTGTCCCTGGCCCTGGTTGGTCGTGTGGGTGGCAGCCACTTGATGTGTCCCTTTCACATTGATGTTTCCCTATCTCTCTCTCTTTCTCTCTCTCCCTCCCACTCTATCTGTACAAAAAATGGAAAAATGTCCTCGGGTGAGGATAAAAAAAAAGAAAAGAAAATGAGGATAGTTTAAGGGAACTTTGGGAGAATATGAAGTGTAACAACATCCACATCATAGGTGTACCAGAAGAAGACAAGAGAACAGGATCAAGAACCTACTTGTAGAAATGACTGAAAATTTCCCTAACCTACTGAAAGAAAAAGACACACAAGTCCAGAAAGTGCAGATTCCCAAACAAAATAAACCCAAAGAGATCCATAACAAGATACATAATTAAAAAACGTTAAAGACAAAGAGAGAATCTTCAAAGCAGTGAGAGAAAGATATTTAGTTACCTACAACAGAGCTCCCATAAGACTGTCAGCTGATTT